AATTCTGTGGTTTATTTTTATCACTAAGCAAACTAAAAAGTAAATGAAAGGATATGAAAATAAAATATTCCATTATAGCAGATACTTGGTATAGAGTACTTACTATGTAACAGGTACTGGTAGGCTCTTTCACACAGATGAGCTCCTGGCCCTTCAACAGTAGTGGGGGATGGTACTGTTACCCCATTACCCAAGAAACCGAGGCTTAATCAGCTTCTGAGGAGGGGCTCACACTGGATTTCAGGTTGGCCTGGCCTACACGCTTCCTTCTCTGCCAAGGACCTTCTACCTGTGAACATGACTGCATGCCTGGGCTTGGACTTGAGTGTCTGAGACTATTAGGAAATTTACTAGCCATCTTTGTTTCCTAAAATTTAATGTGCTTAATATTATTTGTTTAGTGAGGAAAATGAACCTAATAAAACTATGTTAAAGTTAGGGTTCTAACAAACTACTTCATCTGTGGCTCTTTCCAGGCTTGACTTTAGTCCTGTTATTTGCTAAAATGGGTTTACAGTGCAAATTCATCAAAGAGAAAGGAGGTATGCAGAGAATTGTGTAGTTTAGCTGTTACCTAGAGAAACAATCAGCACAACTTTTAGGCCTCCCAGGGATGAGGTCAGGAGTGTTTCCAAGGCCTTCAAGATACACATACGTTTTGGGCCAGAAATTCCACTGCTAGGAATTTCCCCTTAGGAAACACGACCATCTGCAAAGACATTAGAGCAAATTGAGAAGGGCAATGCTAAGGTCCAAGAGAAACAGGAAACATAACTATAGCTGCAACGTACACATAGAGATAAATAACTGCAATCCCAGTTTCAAACCCTAGAAGGCTAGTGAAAGAAATTAGGATACATCTATGCAACCAAGTACTAGGCAGTCCTGAAAGATGAAAACAAGGGTGTATTTATTTATGGGTATGAGGAGATATTCATGATGTATTAGCATAAAAACTATAACCTTCAAAACGGTGTTATGGGTATGAAACTATTTCATAAAAATGTATCTTTATCTTATGTAAAAATCTATACAGATCTATGCATAGGAAAAAATGGACAATTTTATACCCCTTTTAGTAGCAAGTATATCTGGGAGAGGGAAATGCAAATAGAAATGCAAATATTCAAAGAAAAAACAAACATGTTATTTTCTAATCTTCAAGAAATATGTATTACTTGCATAATCACAAAGCTTTAAAAGTGAGTGTTTCTAAATTTAAAAAAAAAGTAACCTGAACATAACAATAGTGCCCAAACTGTCAGACATGTTAGGAATTGGGTGAGAAATGCAGAGGAACAGAGAACCATGGTCCTCTGGAACCCACTAGGATAGAGCAAGCTGAAAGTCAAAGTGACAGGCTGAGGTGTCAACCACTACAGTCAGCTCATGTGTGTAAAACGTGGAGGCAGCAGCTTGTGTACCTTCCATATATTCCAAATAGTCCAGGGGTGACAGGCAGAGCTAACCATCTACATTGTCACCACTGCTGTTTGTGGTATGAAAGAAGCATTAGGATAAAGTTAGTCACGTCTGATGCTCCCTGACTTTCTCTAGTAAAGGCTCCTCAAGAAGCTGGAAGCCCTGGCCCAGGGTCCTCACCCAAACCCCTCAGTCTCCACCACCTCTTAATTCAAGTGCCTAAAGACCAGGGTGGAGTGATGGCGGGAGGAATATAGAGAAGTTTAGAAGAGGCAATGGAGAAGGGACTACAGCAGCTGGCCCCTGAAGAATCCAGTCATGGAAACTGAAGCCTCATTGCCCAGGACTGGTGCAGCAGCTTGGAGTATGACTTTAAAAGGCTGGGCCTCTGGAAGAAGTCAACACTGTGTGCCTCCCAACAGTATATGGTATAAATAAGGCACACAAAACCACCTATGAGGTGTTCTCATCAAAGAAGTTGAACGATGAATCTAATTAAGTCTCAAGAGTTTAGAACTAGCTTTCATTTACAGAAAATACAGAGGAAAGAAGAAAAAAGCTTAGGGACACCACAAGAAGCAAACAGATTTGGAATGGGGAACATTCTACAGGACAACTGACCCAGTTTCTTCCAGTATCACTTGCATAATCACACAAAGCTTTAAAGGGAAAAAAATAGTGCTAGAATAATGGTTGTCAGGGCTTGGGGGAGAGAGAAATAAGGAGTTATTGTTGAATGGGTGTAGAGTTTTAGTTTTGCAAGATGAAAAAGTCCTGGGGATCTGTTGTACAATGTGACTACACTTAACACTACTGAACTGTACACTTAAAATGTTTGAGATGATAAATTTTATGCTAAGTGTTGTTCTTTTAACCACAATTTAAAATAAAATATATTTTAAATTAAGTGCTTCTAGATTAAAAAAAACACTAAACCTGAATATTACAAGAGTACCAAAACAGATATATTAGGAATTGGGTGGAAAGAGGAAGTGTTTCTCTACATTATCCTTGGGGTCACACGAGGCATTAAAAAAATTGAGAGGAGATTGCTTTAGATTAAGAAAGACTCAAGAGATCAGACAACCAAATGCAATTTGTGGATCATGTTAGGATCTGATTCAAAGAGCCAACTGCAATAAACCATCTTGGAGGTTATCAGAGAAATTTGATTATGGCCTGGGTAAAATCCTTTGCTTGGGGTGATTTGAAATTTTCCTTTTTAAGTACATGTATTGAAGTTTAAGAAAACAGAGATAAGACAACTGAAAGAAAATGTATCTGGGCAGAATGCAGAACTAGGAAAATGGTGAAGGGAGAAATGAAATGACTGAGATGGATAAAGGGCCTGAGTAATCCTCTGAACCAGTGGAAAGATTTCACGAGACAGTGAGGTGGAAACCATCATAAAGTCATGACAGGGTTTTCCTGGAGGTGAAGGGAGAGAAATTAAGAAGAGAGGAGAAAGTTAGAAGTGTTCAGAAAAGGCTGGGAGCCATCTTGAAAGGGCTCCCAATGCCCAGGGCTGGAACAATTTGAACAACAAAATAAATAATGATAATACTGAATTACAGCCATAGAATAAATATCTATGAATCTATACCAATATAAATAAATTACTGGATAAATAAATGAATAAATAGGGAGGACAACTCTTCCTCACAGAATTCTAATTACTAAATGTAGAAGGAATGAGGGAAATAAAAAAATCACCATTACCATACCAGAATAATAATAGCTGTAGGCAAGATCCACTTGCTAGATGTTAGAATTTAGTGGGTGAAAGTTTGAGGAGAAACTGGATACCTGCATGGTCTCAAAGTTTCTCCTGAAAAGTATTAATTATTTATCAAGGGACGTGAATAGTAACTTTACAGCATAAAACCCAGCAGACACCACTTTAAGTCAAGGCATAGAGGTTAATTAACACCACCAATAAGGCATAAAGACATGTCCCCTCATGGTAGTGCTGGCAGAATCAGAAACCAATTTACAGTGGGCTGGGTTAGAGAGTGAACTGTGGTGAGAAAATAGGGCCAGCCAATGAGGACTGTTTGGTCAAGAACATTGGAAACAAGAAGAGGGGTTGTGTAGCTAGCACTCATTTGGCTGGTGTAGCTTCTGACAAGTCATGTTTGTTGTTAATTTCATGGCTTTGGAACTACACATCATCAGATCAACCTAAAAAATGGCTGGATGAGGAAGAGCAGGGCAGTGAATAACAATAGCAACAACCCCCACTTCCAGGCTAGTAATCAGGTTCTGGGAATCCAGGTACAACAGGATACCATGTATCTTTGTATCTGACCACCATTCAAGTTGGTTGATGGAAAGCTTTTGACATTACAGCAATATGGTATGAAAGAGATTTTTAGTGCAACTGAGGGTTCATATCTTTAAAGCATGAAGTACGCCCAGCACAGAATTAGGATTTTAGGTGAAGTTGGCCATGCTGATGATGCCAGAGCCCAAGAAGGTAAAACTACTTTTTACAAACAGGATTTTTAACAGGAAGGGAAAGGAAAATAAGCAACCCCAACCCCCCAAAAAACAACTACGGACAGCTGCCCCCCCAAAAATATGTGATCAGTAACAGCTTTAGGATCTACAAGAACAATTACAAGAAAGTATTTAGCAAAAATATCTACTTCCCTGAACTAGTGTCTCAAAAAGTCATCGTCTCATCCTAAATTGCAAGAGATATGGCTATCAGAACTTCACCCTAAGAAAGTTTTCTGAATCCGACACTGTAAGTGCCCTTATCTGATTTAACTTGAAACAATGTTGGGCATACAGAGGAAGATGGCTGGGGTCAGTATTTAAAAAACCTGGTTTGAGCATCAAGTAAGTTATCTCATGGAATCTCAAAAAAAAAACAAAACCCAAAAACCTGGGTTCAGTTTCCTGCTCCATCACTTACAACCTAAGTCAAACCAACTGACAACTTGGGAACTTCAAGTTTGCTTTATCTAAAAAACAGAATAAATATCCTCACTAGGTACATGGCAACATTCCTTAGAAGATCAAGCAAAATAATACATGTGGCAATGTTCTGTAAATTGGGAGGTACTAGGTAAATCTATTACCAGTTACATCAGCTTTGTGGATGACTCGATAGAGGTACACCTTGAAAATCTTTTTACTGTGCCGTGTGCTGATACATCCCGTGTGAAGATACTGCATGGAAACACTTCTATAAAAACTTAGGCAACAGATTGCCTGTGTGGAGCCCAACTACTAGTCACAAGTTTTTTGTCAGGATGTCAAAATCAAGGTAGTCTGTTCTCTGAATACCATCAAAGGGTGTAATCTATTAGCTTCTCTCCTATGCATCGAAAATATTCTTTGTGAGTTTTTTGGCCTGCATGACTACTGATACATGTATTGAATCTCCTTTTGCCAAAGATTGTTTTACACTCTTGCAAAAATTCCCTGTTTTTTTATTATACAATGATGAATTTTCAAATTGTTAACAAGTTGTGAGGGCTGGTGGAAGGCCTTCTCACATTCAGAGCTCTCAGAGGGTCTCCCTTCAGGATGAAGCCAAAAATGTTAAGAGTGTTCTGATGGAAGGTTTTTCAGTACGAATTGCACTCCATGGATTTCTCTTGAGAATGGAGTTGATAATGTTGGGTGAGGTATAAGGGTTGGCTGAAACATTTCCCGCACAGCTGACATTGTAAAGGCCTCTCTTGGGCATGAATCCGATAGTGTTGAATGAGATGTGAACTCTGCTTGAAGGCTTTGCTGCAGTCACAACACTGATAGGCTCGCTCTCCGACATAGTCATGTTTCTGCTGATAGCGAATTAAGTACTTCTTGATGCGGGGCAACCTAGGAAGGTTGTGGGCTTTGAGATGGTGAAAAAAATGCACATCTTGGATAAAAGCTTTGCCACACTGGAAACACTCATAGTAGTCCCCCTGACTATGGGTTCTTACAAGGCCACAGATATTTACACGTTGGATGAAAGACTTTCCAGGGGACTTCTCACTGGCAAGAGTCCTCTGGTGACTGGTGAGGTATGGCATGAGGTAGAAGGCTTCTGTACACTGTTCACCTTCAAAGGGTTTCTTCCCAGTGTGGATCTGCTCATGTCTCTCATGGGCTGTTTGGGTATTAAAGGTCCTTTCACAACATTCACATCTGTTGAGTGTGTTCTCCTGGAGAAAAGGCTCATCGACCACCGGTGCGGGACTGGTGAGAATTCCAGAAGCAGCACATTCCTGGGGACCCTCTTCTAGAGGACCCTCTGACTGTTCAGTAAGATATGGACTTCTTGCAGATTCATCACTGTCCTGGCTTATTTCCTGAGTGAGGGTCTTGGGCTCACTCATTGTTACAGGGCTTGCAAGCGTCTCCTGGATGACTTGGTATGAGTCCAATGGATCATCAGAAGGCTCTCCTACATCTCTTGCAAGTTGGAAGTTACCTACTTGTAAATCCTCCATTCCTGCCCCCAAGGGTGAATTTTCTACAGGCAGGCTTTGCTCTGGAGTTAGATCTTTGGTCTCAGGACTTTTCTCCCAATCTAAAAGAAATGTAGAAGTTCTTCTACTCTTTTTTTACATATAGAGACACATCATTATAGCAGAGACAGAAGGAAGGAAGGAAGGAAGGAAGG